TCTGAAGTGTGGTAATTTAGTTGTTAGATTTCCTCTTTAGGGTCAGCCAATCTTCCTATCAAGGTTTATAATCTAGGGTTCATTTAATTTTGTTCAGTTTATTCAGATTTATAGTTTTCATCTCTTTGCAGTGTGTTAATTATCTCTATAATTTCTGCTTTAATAGGACAGTAGTAGAACGAGCAGTGGGCAGAGAGACCCAGATTCCTATTGGGTCATTGTGACAAGTGGACAAGAAGGTCACTTCTGGATTTGTAACTAACTAAAAATGTAACTACTAAAAATGTAGGTAGTTTTTTGCCTGAAAAGATTACCTTTAAGAAATTCCAACGTAAAAAAAAAAGAAATTTCAACTTTTGGGGCCATTAGGTGGCATGGTAGTTAAAGCGCTGGACTCCCACATGACAAACTGTGGTTCAAATCTCAAACCTGGTGGTTTGCTTTTTCACTTTCTCTCTCTCTTTTTCTGTCTCTGGTGAGTACACATGCCCTGCAGAAAAAATTTAAAAAGAATAATTAATAAAAGAAATTACAAATTTAATCCAAAGTAAATGGATTCACATAAACATTAACTAACACTTATAAGACCTAGAGTTTGATTTAGAAGAAACTTTATTGTAAGAACTACATTGATGTAGTCTGGAAGCCTGTTAATGTCATTTAATGGAGAAATTAGCATGTTTAAACTCAAAGATTGTTACTGGCATTATTTTGATAGAATCTTGTTTCACTAATACTGTGTTATAATCAAACATTTTTTTTGGAGGGGTTTTGCTATAGGGTGCGTGAGGGTCCGTCCATTCGCCAGAAAGACAGACAAAAAGCAAGAAATCAGCCTCCCCCCCTCCCCAGGGGGATGGCCATGCCACAATCCCTTCTCCATTCTTCTCTTGGGATCTTGGGCACACACACATCCACATGCGTCCTGCTTGAGTTTAAGCCACCGGGTCCAGGACTCAAACGGCAGTCGACTATATGGGAATCCAGCGACATAGCCATTATACCAACTGCTGGTCCCAATAATCAAGTTTTTATTCATTTTAAAAGAGAAGATTTTTTGAATGAGACTGGCTAAGAAATTGAGGAATTTCCTGCCATGTACTGTGAAAATCAAACTGACTATCATACAAATCTTCAAGGGGGAGAAATCAGGAGAATATAGGAGTTATTTTAGTTGCTGAATATACAAACTCATTTATAATTATTAATTAACGATTCTGTGTTTTTAAATTATTACTGAGGAATTTCTGACAAATTTATGTAATTAGCTGAAAAACAGGCACCATTGTTTCTTTTTTTGGGGTAAAGAATTATTTATTTTATTTATTTGTTATTGTTATTATTTTTTCACATGAGTTTTGCCAGATAAAGACAGAGAGAGTGGGAGAGTGAGAAAGCAAGGCACCAGGTTGTGGCTTGAACCACAGTTGACCGTGTGGGAATTACAGTGCTTTAACCACCATGCCACTTGCCGGGCCCGACACCTTTGTTTCTATAAAATGAAGTAGCCAGGGGCTTAAGATGTTAGTTTAATATATAGTTTTTTTTTTTTTTTTGAGAGATTTTCACTGTAGGGCGCGTGCGCTCGCCAGACAGACAGAGAGAGACATAGAGACAGAAAAAGCGACATAGCCATTACGCTAACTGCTGGTTCCCTAATATATAGTTTAGACAGATTTTCTATGTAAGGGTAATTCTAATAGTTCAATGAACTCCCATTTTCTGGATTACATATTGGTAGTTATATTGCATTCGTAGGGTAGTTAGTGAGGCTTTTACAGGTGAATAATTTTTGAATTCATCAGGTGATGAAGGAAAGAAAATTACTGTTTTTTTTTTTTGGAGAGATTTTTGCTATAGGGCGCGCACGCTCGCCAGACAGACAGAGAGAGACATAGAGACAGAAAGCGAGGAATCACCCCCCAGGGGGGATGGTCACGCCGCAGTCCCTTCTCCTCCATTCTCCTCTCGGGATCTTGGGCATGCACGCACATGCGCCCGGCGTGAGTTCTAAGCCACCGGGTCCGGGACGCGAACCGCGGTCGACTACGTGGGAGTCCAGTGACATAGCCACTGCGCTAACTGCTGGTTCCCAAGAAAATTGCTGTTAACAACATCAGCTACTGTCCTGTGTAAAACCCCTCATGTGGCATTTATGTGATGAAAAAGTAATGAATTATATCAGAAGCCTAGTTTATTTAATACAGTGTTGAGGAAAAAAAAGGTCATACACTTTTGTAGATGTTAATATTGCATTACCTTAAGGCCTTTTTTTTTTCAGATATATATATATTTAAGGTTAGTAACTATATTTGCATGTAGACGCATTTAGGCAGTGTGGTAATGTGTAGACTATGGATTTTATACTAGGATTTTTAGGAGATCAGTATCTGTAGATAACAAGAAATGTTTTCTTAGGTTGACTTCTCAGCTGCTTTGACTTTAATGTTATCTATATATTTTATTGAAATACTGTTTTCTATAGTTATTTGCTTGAAAAATAAAAATAAAGATGTGAGAAATAATTGAAAGAATTTGCTTAATCTTTTGTTCTAATTCTAAAGCTAAACCTTGTAGAGTCAAGTCTGAAATAATCTAGTTACCATTCTTCATGTAAATTGTGTAGGCTCCAGTTATTTATGTTAGTAGATTAAAATTGTATTTTGCAGTAGCTTACAAAAAATAATTGCCAAAAATTTTTAATTAATCACAGTAGAATCACTTATATTCTAGAAATTCTGAATACATATGTTGGATTGTAGTTCTTTGACCTACGTTTTGTGTAAAACAAAAAGGTACCCTTGTAGGAGAGTCTGAGAATTTTCTTTTTACTAGGAATTCTTTTCTTTTTTTTTTTTTCAACTTTGCCATAGGGCAAGTATGCTTACCAGAGAGAGACAGAGAGAGAGAGGAAAAGTGAGAAAACACTCCCCTGAAGGGGATGGCCACATCTCAGTCCCTTTCTCTATTCTGTTGGGATTTTTGGCATGTACCCATATGCTTCTGGTGTGCTTTTCAAACTTTTCACTCCAGGACTGAACAGTGCAGTGAGCCACGGTTGATCCAGCTGCCCTAACCCCCATACCACTGACTGGCCTTTAACTAGGAATTATGATAATATTTATTGTACTTAGACTTTGATTTTTATTCATTAATTTATTCATTCATTGATTTATTCATCATGTTTATGCCAGGCACTTTCTTGGGCTAGGAATACAGCAGTGCCCAAAACACACAAAATTTCTTCTCTCATAGTGATCTCAGGAATGATTTATAACATTATTCTCTGTGTGATATTGTTGTTCTTGATCTGGTCATAACACTATTCCTATTTCTTTCTTTCTTTTTTTTTTTTTTTGGAGATGTTTTTGCTCTAGGGCACGTGCACTTGCCAGAAAGACAGACAGAGAGACATAAAGCGAGGAATCACCCCCAAGGGGGTATGGCCATGCCACAATCCCTTCTTCTCCATTCTCCTCGTGGGATCTTGGGCATGCATACACACACACCCGGTGTGAGTTTAAGCCACTGGGTCTGGTACTCGAAACGCAGTCAACTACATGGGAGTCCAGCGATATATCCATTACGCCAACTGCTGGTCCTGGTCATAACACTATTAATGTGTGTCCTGTGTGATGGTCAACACATATGTATGTATATTCATTAAAACATTTATAAACTTGCCATTATAGCCAGAAGTAGATATCAGGACCTACCTATGACCAGGTGAGAATGTAGATGATTTTTTTTTAATCTAAGGAATTTTAATATTCTAGTTTTCTCTGTTTACTGTTTTAATAAGTATTTATAAAACACATCAGGGATTTGGACATAGCTTAGGTTTAAAAAATGGAACACAGTTTTTGTTTTACTGCTTTACTTTTATCTACATATGCTAGCTTATGTCCATAAGTATACTGTTTTTATTTATGTATTTTTTGAGAGTGTTTTTTGCTATAGGGCACATGATGTGCTTGCCAGAGAGACAGCAAGAGATCATTTCCCGGGGGGATGGCCACACTGCAATCCCTATTCCTACATTATCTTCTTGGGATTTGGGACTTGCATGCACATGCGCCTGGAGTGGGGCTTAAACCTCTAGGTCTAGTACTTGAACTGCGGTCAACTACGTGGGAGTCCAGCAATGTAACCATTACACAACCTTGCTGGTCCCAGTGTACTTGTATTTTTAAAAGTGAGTTTACATTGCTAGGAAGTTTGGCTACATGGCTTAGTTATTAAAACATGGTATTTATAAAATTATTAATTTGATACCCTTTTGGAAATATGTTAATTTTTTATGAAAAACAACTCTTCTTTATTGTACAAAAGTGTACTGTTAGACCTAATGGAACTTGGGTGAGAGTTTGGTACAAGTAATGCCTTCATTTGTATTCTTATCATTTGTATAGAATCTAGGTCTTCTGATTTTTTTTTTACGAGATAGAGAGAGAGACCACCTCCAGTCTTAATTAGCCCAGATCATGGACAAATGTGCCCCTAAACCTCTGTAGTGTCTACAGGGAGACCTTCAGATGAAAACTTGGGACCTCGTCATGTGGGTCTACCATCACAGACCATTGCATTATTGTTGTGCCACTATCTGATCCTTAGATCTGATTCTTATTCAGTTCATCTTCATTACTGGATAAGTCAAGTAATGAAGACTTTACTCATCATCATTTCGCTTTCTTGCTTTTCTGCATGCCTCCTTTTGCTGTTTTGTAACACTTATTTTGTAAGAGTAACAGCTAAGTGAATGATTTAATAAAGATATGTAAAAGTAAGCTGGCGTGCCATACCATTTAAATATCACAACATTTAAATGTGTTTATTTTGTGGCTGTTTCTTAAAGTTGGTTCAAGTACTAATTATTTATAATTTTATTTTCTCAATTCTATATTTTAAAACTGTAATTTATTTCACAGTAGAACAGTTAGGTAATGAAACTGATGTTTTAAAACCAAATGATTTTTTCCTGTTTTATTTATGCATTTTAGTTTGCAGCCAATGCACATATTCCTCCAGACTACCTCCTTAAAATTTGTGAGCGGATTGGTCCTTTACTAGATAAGGAGATCCCTCAGAGTGTTCCTGGGGTACAGACATTATTAGGTGTCGGTCGGCAGTCTCTGCTACGGGATGCTAAAGGCATGGTTTTCAGATTTTAGAATTGTGATGTCAGAGTAAGGAGTAGAGAGTAGCATGTTTTTAGGTTGAGTGTATGTTCCCATGTTTTCCAAATACTCATTTTCTTTTGCTTTTTCTTATCTTGCCAATGCTGTTCTTATTTTCTTAGTGTACAAATAAATTTTGGAGAGCTAAAAAAGATACATTGAATATTACTAGAGATTAACAATTTTAAATCCTTTTGTAATTATAGAATAAAGATCTCCAAGATTGCTGCTCTAATTAATACAGTATAAATAGTTAAAATATTCTTTTGTTACATTATAATATTCTTGCTCTTAACTTAGCTTGATAATGTCCTAATTATATTGTATATTTTCTAATAGGTAAATAACAGGTAAATGAGAATTACATGTAAATTTTTTTGGAGAGGTTTTTGCTATAGGGTACTTGTGCTTGCCAGAAAGACAGAGAAAGAAAGACAGAAAATGAAAAATCACCCCACAGGGGGGATGGCCATGCTGTAATCCTTTCTCCTCCATTCTCTTCTTGGGATCTTGAGCATGCATGCACACAGGTGCTCGGCATGAGTTTAAGCCACTGGGTCTGGAACTCGAACCGTGGTTGACTACTTGGGAGTCCAGCAAAATAGCCATTACGTGAACTGCTGGTCCCCATATGTAACATTTTTATAACTGAAAATATTTAAATAAAAGTATCAACCCATCAGTGACTAGTCAATAACAATTTTTCTACTCCATGGTTTTTTTAGTATTTTATAGATTACTCCAAAAATTTTACATGTAATCTCAGTGTTAAAACATGTCAAGTGATATTTTATGGACATAAAATTGTGGAATTACACATTAAGGATTGAATATAATAATGTGGAATTAGGCATTAAGGATGGCTCTTGGAGTAATAAATACTTAAGGTCTAGCAACCTATTTTTTTTGTTTTGTTTTATTAGAACACTATTTTATTTTAGAATTTTCTTTGCCATAGGGCCTTTATGTTCACCAGAGAGACAGAGAAAGACAGAGATACAGAAAGCAAGAAATAATTCCCCAGGGGAATGGCCACCCCATAGTCCCTTCTCCTCTAATCTCCTCTTGGGATTTTGGGCACTCATGCACATGCTCTCAGCATGAGTTTCAAGCTGTCGGGTCTGGGACTCGAACTACGTTGGAGTCCAATACCTTAACCACTATGCCACCTGCTGGCCCCTAGAATACCGTTTTTAAAAATCTTCATTCACTAAGATAAATAGTTGTACGATGCTGGGCTTTAAACATTTTATTTTCTAATTTATGGATATTTTTCAACTTAGTTAATTTGGAAACTTTCAGGAGGGCAGTAGAATATTTTTATTACATAACTGAAGTATTAGAAATAAGTGATATTTGATTGAGTTTTTTTTTTTACCTAAACATAAAAGTCAAACAAAGACATGAACTATTTAGTCAGTTATCATCTGATATGCAGTGTTGTTATCTGTTATGGCACAACTAGCAAGTATTTCATAGTATCAGTATATACGAAGGATAAATGTTCCTGAATTTTCCGTGGGACACTCGTGCAATTCTCATGTCTTTGCATATACTGTTTTATATGAATAGTCATGTATAAGCCTGAAAATCAAGAAGTACTGATATAAACATAAAATCTTAATAATCTTTTACATATTTACATAAGATTAAAGTATGTTCATAATAAAACTTTTAGTTTGAGACCAGCTCAAAAGTAAAATATCCTGGTGATGTTAAAATGTTGGAGTTTACCAGTCATAATTTAGTTCAAAACATGTTTAAATATATGTATCTTAATTTTTTTAAGGTTTAGCCATGAGGTGCTTGTGCTTGCCAGAGAGAGACAGAAAGAGATGGAGAGAGGGAATATGAGGAATCACCTCTGAGAGGGGATGGCCATGTCGTAATCCCTTCTCCATTTTTCTGCTGGGATTTTGGGCATGCACAGCACATGTGCCTGGTGTGATTTTTCCAGTTGCCAGGTCCAGGACTTGAATCATGGTCGGTCATTGAGGTGGGAGTCCAGCACCTTAATTACCACATCACCTGCTGTACCCTATGCATCTTATTTTTATGGTAGTTTTTTTCCTAAAGGTTTTGCCATAGGGCATATGTGCTCACTGGAGAGATACAGAGAGACAGAAAGACGGAACGTGAGAAATCACTCCCCACCCCATGAGAAATGGCCACACTACAATTCTTTCTTTTCCATTCTCCTTTCAGTATTTTGGGCATGTATGTGCATGTGCCTGGCATGATTTTCAACCTGCCGGGTCTGGGAATTGAACTACATGGTCAGTCATGTGGGAGTCCAGTGCCTTAACCACTATGTAACCTAGTGACCCCTTTGCAGTAGTTTTAGTAGTTAAAAATATATTCCAACAAATGAAATAGAAATCAGACATCTGCCTCTGAGGCACAGTTAAAAAATCACTACTCTATTACTAGACTAATTTTTTTTTATATATATTTATATAGACTGTAAGAGTACACTATGGAACGGGTCTGCTTTTGCAGCTCTACATAGAGGCAGACCTCCAGAACTACCTGTAAATTATATGAAACCTCCAAATGTGGGTGAGTAATATTCATGTGAGTTATAAACATTCTTGATTCATTCCTTCTTGAGCTCATTAGAAAACCAAAAATAGGTACCAGAAGTAAATGTGAAATGTAAACAAACTGCTTTCATTCGTGAGTTTCAGGGCTGGGCCAGATTTTTAAAGCATTTTTTACTTAAAGACAGTATAATCATGATTTCGTAAAATATTACCTTTTATCTTTATTTCAATTCATTTTCTTATCATAAATAGTTCTGTTTTTACATAGTATAGGTATTGTTTATTTACATGTCTATGTGCGGTGTTTCCCAAAGATTTTACAGGGAGCTATGTAAAGATAGCTTTTGGGAGGAAACAAAGTACATTCTTAAATCTGTTTGCCAAGCTTGTAACAATCATGTATATTTTTTTGAGAGAGTTTTGCTATAGTGTGCATGCACTCACTGGAGAGACAGAGACAGAGAGACAGAAAGTGAGAAATCACCTTCCAGGGGGGATGGGCACTCCGCAGTCCCTTCTCTGTTTACCTCTTGGGATCTTGGGCACGCATGTACATGCTCCTGGTGTGAGTTTTAAGCCTCTGGGTCCAGGACTCAAGCTGTGGACTACTACATGGGAGTCCAGAAATGTAACTATTACACTGTCTACTAGTCCTGATAGTATGCGTTTTCATTTATCTTTTTATTCATGATGTAGTTTGTGCATGAGACAAATAGAGAAATGAGTACCCTCCACAGGGTCTGGTCATGCCACAGTCCCCTTCCACTGGTCCCTTTAGTCCATCATATCTTGGTCACTACTGTGCAAGTTTTATTCATAATTAACTTACTGGATCTACTTGAGAAAGCTTTTGTTATTTGTATATTTATTTATATTCAAAGAAATATCACTTTTAGCCATAATATTGTTTATGGTAGCCATATCAATTGACAACATTGTTTTGTTTGTAGTGCTTTATACTTCCTTCAATGGTCACATGTGAAATGCTTAAGAGCAGTCTTTAGAGTATTAGGTCCTAAGCTTTTTTTAATCCCTTTTCTGTCTCTTTTTTTCTAACTAACTAAGAACATATTTTTACATTTTTGCTGTTTTTGTAAAGTAACTTTTTTTGGGAGGGGGGAGAGGTTTTTGCTATAGGGCGCATGTGCTTGCCATTAGAGACAGGATACAGAAAGCGAGAAATCACCCCCAGGGGGTATGGCCATGCCACTATCCCTTCTCATCTTGGGATCTTGGGCACGCATGCACATGCGCCCAGCGTTAGTTTAAGCCACCAGGTCGGGGACTCAAAGCTCGTTCGTCTTCATGGGAGTCCAGCGATGTAGGCATTACGCCATCTGCTGGTCCTTTGTACATTAACTTAAATCAGTTTTTTATTCTTTTAGTTGTTGCTTAGAAATTATAGTATCACTGTAATTGATGCTTTCAAAATCTTCTGAAATCTTCTGGGTTATTTGGAGAGAAGCTTTTAGAATAGAGGTATTTCAATCAATATACATTTGTCATGTAGCACATACTGGTCAAGATTCCTTTTTTTTAAAATTAATTTATTTATTTTAATTTGACCAGAGAGGTACAGAATGAGAGAGAGCAGAGAGATAGAAAGTGAGAAAGCAGGCCACCAGGTCCAGGACTTG